GCCCATCAGGGAGCATAAGTTAAGGTAAAGACTCCCTCTCCTTTGACCTGTCCCCAAGCATAAACAGTTTTTAGTCCGTGTTTTCTCCTTGGTCTTCATTATTCTTATCATTGTCACCATAACTTTAAGTCACACCTCTGTTTATTAGTTCATGTGGGGACTTGAAAAATACTGCCTCTCCAGCTCTCGGTCTTTGTGAGTTATATTTTGAGATTTATACTGTCAAGGTTGAAAACATTTGTAGTCTGCTTCTCATCTATCATTAGGCTTTCTGTGCTTTTTTTCTTTTTTTTTACAGCTTTAGTTTAAAAATGTTAGCACATGGAAAGTAATATTTATAGTGTCATGATAATATAAATATAATCCACTGCAGAACTAAGTAGTGTGACTAGAGAAGGCAGAACATGTAATTTTGTATCACAGAACCCTTGCCTAGGGAAAGAGAATGTCCGACTGGCACCCCTGTTTCTTTTCAGGTTTCTGTGCAACTTCTGGTTGCTCTGGCTACCATGGTGTCTCATTCCCACCATGTCTGTTACTTGGATTCTGTTTTTGTTCTGCACCTTGAACATCTCTAACCATGTGGTTCTTTCCAGTGGAAAATTGCTCAACATTATCAAACAGTTGGGAAGAAATTAAATGAGCCACTTCCAATAAATTTGTCAACAGCATGTATAAAATCCTTAATGGGACTTCATTTTATATTATGTCAGAGCACTCCATAAACTTCAAAAGAGCTGGGTAATTTTGATGCACTTTCCTTGATAGTGTGTTGTAAGTTAGTTAAATTACATATACTCTGAGGCAGCTCATTGCCAATAAATGAAATGTTACTACCTCACAGAAATTTGGCAGTGGGGAGGGGTATTCTGGGCATCTGTTTTACAGTAAGGTTGGAGATGATTTATGATACTGTTAAGTTTAGTTTTTGAAAAATTATGGTTCAAAAAGATGAAGTTTTGTCACTGTGCACACAAACAACCCATATTAAACTGTGAAATGAAACAAAACTAGCAGTATAATTATACAAACAAGAAGGTGGCAGTTGAAACCCACAATAAGCGAAAGTAGCCATTGATAAGGAACCATCCTTACTGAAGCCGTGGGCGGGTGGCCTCCGCATGGGCCAGTTGTGGAGCTCGCCCTGCTGCCGAGCATGGAAGCCACACTTACTGAGATTGAATTAGACCTCTGTCAACCCTAGTAACACTCCAAGTTTAGGTTATGGATTCTGAATTTTAGTGCCCCTTAATAATTCACTAGTCAGTTTCCATTGACTAGCCATGGTTGTATTGGAAAAAGAAAGGCTGTGAAATTTTGTTGGTTAAGCAGCAGAGAAAGGACTGGGTTTGGGGTTAGCTCACAGCCCCTGGGGAGGGCTGACTTTGCTAACCCAGCATGCTTTGAGCATCTGATGAAAGCTACATACATTTTCACTAGAAAGATGCCCCTGGGCGTATAAACACCATTTTGTATATAATTTTACTGCTTTCATGGACTTCATGACCCCTCGATGAGTACCTGCTCTGGGAGCAGCTGGGAAGCAGCTCTTTCTCTCCTCATGGAACTCACCCAGGAGGTCTTTCTATAAGTGGAAAACAAACTCAGAAAGGCTGCAAAGGTAGGTGTCCCGCACTGGCCTTATCCTTTGGCTCTACTCATGATAACTTCAGGATGGATAATCTTCTGAGGACACCACCTCTGGCTGTCCATGGCTCTGGTGCATCTTCTAAACTCGGTCACCTTTCCTCCTCCCAAAGGCAGGAAGGCGTAGAAACTTTATGTGCTTGGTCTTTATTTTCATGATTGGCAAAACGTTTCATTTTATCAGCTTTTTTATCGCCCTCCTCCCCTTTTCAGTTATTTCCTAAAGGTTGAGTGTGTTTCTTAAGAAGAGTGTCAGGCTCATTGTACAAATGGAGATTTAGGAAAATATCAACTTGAATTATTGAGGAGTCTGAGTTAAAGCACTCTTGAATGGAGATGCCACTGCTGATATGGCACATTGATTTATTTCCAACTCTCCGGCCAACTGCACATATTTATGTACATATTTAACTTGGTTGCGATGTGCTATCTCTTATTTATCACTAGATTTAAATTTCATGTCTCTGTTCATGAGGGAAGCTGAACACTGATTTCTGACTTCTGTGAGATCATTGACAGGTTTATTCCCAAGGTTATCCTGGTCTCGCAACAAGAGTCGGGCAGTGTCCCCTCTCTGTTTTCCCTGAGCAGCGAGTGAGGCCTTGTCCCGTGCACCACTTGCTCTAATCTTCACTCTTTTTGTTCTGATTTTCTCTCCAAGATCCCACGTTCCTTCTTCTGTATCCTTTAGGATTCTTCTAGCGAGGGTCTGCTGCTGGCACAGTTTCTCAGCTCTTACTTGTTTGAAAACATCTTTATTTATTGTCATTGTGAAGAGACTTGTGTTGGGGCCAGAATTTCAGGTTGGCAATGTTAGGATCTCACTGCCGTCTGCCAACTTCTCAGCTGTCCCTTCACTTATCTAGGGAAGATTTGTCATTATAGAAGTCGAAGTAGCAGTGACTATAGCTAGCATGCCTTGGAGGTCTTTATAGTCAGAACAATTGAAAGCCGCCCTCTTCTACAATTTCCTCTCTTCATTTTCTCATGTTGGTTGTCAAATTCTCTCCAGCGCTTCACAAGCCTAGATCCTCTGAGTCACCCAGGCTTGGTTCATTCATCCACCTGGGCTGTCAGTCACCAGGTCCCGCCTATCACACCTTCAAGATTTTTCCAGTCTCTACCCTCCCTCTAGCCCCAGATATCTTCCCGGCCTCTGGTCGCAACTTTCTAGCCATTGCCCACAGAGCTGTCTTTTTGAAAGCAGACTGGATTTTCTTTCTTACACAACATTTGTCTACAGTGCCTTCTGCCGAGAGGCCTTCCTCCCTCCCTCACACCAGGCATCTCAGCCAAGGGGCATCTGTCTACCTCCCTGCGCCCCCAGGCTCAGTGACTGTGGCCCCACTTGCATCCCCTCACTGATGCCCATGAGCATCCATCCTTCTGTAGTGGGTACCCGTCCTTAGGACTAATTAAGTACTTAAAATAGAAGCCACTATGAGAAATTAGGAAGAAGGCTTCTTTGTCTTAGCATCCTTCAATCAGTTGATTATTTACCTGTTGTTTGCTTGTCTTGAGCCTATCAGGCCTTTGTATATTGGAATAATTGGTATCTCTAAGCATCAGAGAATCTGTTCTGTTGAAGTCTTTGTTTAACTGTACACTCATGTAATCGATTTATGCAGCTACAAGGTAGAAAATGAGAGTACTTATTTTTTGGCAGAGTGAAGCCATAATTTCCAGTCTAGTTAAATTATAATGATAAATATCACTTTCAAAGGAAACACAATTGCTTCATTTAATCAGTCTGATTATTACTAGCACAGCCAATCCATCCAGTGCTGAGTGGTACATTTATTTTAGTACAACTAGTTCTGTACTTGCCATCAGTGCTGGGCGTGTTAAATCTTACACAACCCCTGTTTTACCAGCGTGGCTGTGGTGTTTGAATTTCCTTATGTTAGGAGATAGTCAGATGGGAACCTGTGGTAGAAGCCCCTCCAGCTTGGCTAAGTTGGGGTCACACTATTTTCAGGGAAGGTTTCCTGAGCCTGGGGGCACTCAGCAGTAGAAGGCTTTGGCATGGCATGGGGCTGGGCCGCCTGCCTGAGCATGTCAGGAGCTGAAGGTCACAGAGCTGCCCAGCTGTTAGGGCTTTTTCTTTGTCCCACCCTGCCTCCGTTTCCCCCTTTTCAGATTTTTAGGTGGCTGCAATTCCTGTTTGTTTCACCTGGTGGATCCAGGCAACTTGAGGAAGAGGCAGGATCAAAACTCTCAGCCTTGTTCACTGACTGGCTTCCTGCCCCCAGACCACAGCTCCCGTGCCGCTTCCTCCTCAGCTTCTCTCTACTTCTCTTTTGCAAGAAAGATAAATCGTCCCCTGTCCTGACTTTCTCACGCTCCTGTCACCCTCTGCACCTGCAGAACGTTAGCTCTCCTCGTCTATGGGGCATGGCTGGTAGCCCTTGTCAGTTGTCACATGGTTAATCGTGTAGCAACTCCTTGGTCCCATCACTATTAAGATGGTCCTAGTAGAGCCCAGACCCACAGCGCAGGTAGAGTCCAAGTAGTCATAGCCGGGAGATGCAGGAGGGTCTCAGAAACCAGTCAGTTCTCACCCACGAGGACCAGTAGTTGTGACGGGCCCCGTGGCCTGGGGAAACATCCTGGTGACTGGACTGTTTGCACAGTAGGGGCTCCTGCACACTCAGATGCACCTCGGCTGCGCTCCAGCCTCAGTCTCCATTGCCCACTGAGGGACCCACTGGTTCCTGCCATGGATATTAGAGCACAGCTCTGCCCCGAGGACTTCCCTTCATTTGAGTGTCAGTTTGTTTTTCAAAAAGAAAATATTAATGTTATTTATATATGTTTTGGAAGTGTATCAGCATGTGGAAACCGTCTCTTTAGTGACTGGCTGGTTGAAACCAGTCTTACATGGAGAGGGAATGACTTGCCGATGTTGTTTCATGGCCTTGTGGCGCCTGTGCATAGATGGCCCATGGCTCCTCAGCCTGGGCAGCAGGGGTTGGGAGATGTCCGGGCCTGTGCGGTTCTGTCTGTGCTCACGCACACATTCACCTTATAGGAGGGAAGCTCACATAGGCAAAGCCCAAGGCCATGTTCCTTGGCAAGTGGCCTGGTGCCTGTTGGCTCTAGTATGTTGGGAGCAGAAATGGATTGTGGGTGTTCCCCATGAGTCTGCCTGTCCTGGCAGGTGGGATGAAGGCGTGATCAATTATTGTGTATCAGCTTTAAAAAAAATCATAAGACTATATTAAAAATAATTTACACTTGTATTTAGGAAGATTTTTAATTATTATCATTAGAGTTCACATCTGAAAGGGTGGAAAAGCATCTAATATTGAGTTAAATTCATGTAAATAATTGAATCTTTTTATTACAGAGTAATGTCTTTTGAGTTGGGCGTGGAGACCTAGAGCAGTAGCCGAAGAAACGCACTTGCTAAGCACATGTTCTGATGATCTGTCCTACATGTACTGACGGAGGCCTGGCCCTGGGATCGGAGCAGACATAGGAACTGAACTAATTCCAAGGTAGGCAAGAACCTGCAAACATTACTAACATTTGCCTGATAAAATACGACTTCTGTTTGATGTAAACTGATCATGCCTCCTAAAATGTGCTTTATTGAGTCACTCCCAGCAGAGTTTACTGTCGCCGTGGATTCCTTTGCGATCCCCGCCAGTCCCTGCGGCCCCTGCAGGCTGGAGCACTGCTGCTTTCCAGGGGCTCCAGAGCCTGGGGCTGCCTCTGGCCTCAGGTCACTGGGCAAAGGTTGGTGCCTCCTTCCAGCCTTTTACCATAAATCATTTTCTTTGAGGTGATGAGAAGAAAATTTCTTTCGTACTTATTTTTGGTAATTATTATGTGATTTAGCATCTGCTTTTGAGAGAAGCTGTGACAAATATTTGGGGAGTGAAGATGCATTCGTGTCTGATCACTGGGTTGAGTTTGTGCCGGGAAAGGCCCCACTGGTCATTTCTGAGTCTGTAAATGTCAGGAATGTGGGGTAACTGGTTCCCAGAGAGACTGTGATGGAGATTCTGCATGATCCTCAGCTGATGCTTTGATTTGGCACCCAGGTAGTGAGAGTTGGGGAGGGCACCACAAGGTGCCTTTGTCCATGGCTTGTGCCCCTGGGTGGAGCTTATCTTGAGCCTCAGATCTTTTAGCTTGATAGTTATATGAAATCAGCTTCTCTGTAACTGTATTTATTGAAAGCTAGGATCCCCAGGCTGGCATGGGTCTGAAGGGGACACTGTGCTTGGTGCTGCTGAGTGAAGTGTGGTCTTGACCACCTACGTGTAATAGGCCGCAGGCATGAACGATTGCTTTAGAGATGCTGCTTTTGTGGGAGAGCAAGTATTTTTATACAGTGTAAGCAAATGTTGGAGAAGTGAAGTGTTTATAATCTTTCGTACAAGTAAATTGTCCTTAAAGCCATAGAAAAAAATAATCAGGCCAAAGGAGGTAACTGAAGTACACGCTGAGAAAGGAGACGAGAGGCTGCAGCTATAAGATGTTACAACATTATGAGTCATGTCTCCTCCTGACTGCGCTAACAGATGACTGCACGATAGAAAGTTTGTATTTCTTTTTCACAAAATGAGAGCTAATTTTGGCAACAAATAGTCTGATATATATGCTTTTCCTTTTTTAGGGTGGCTTGGAAAAAAAAGTAAATGAACATGAATTTTTTGGCTAAAAAAGTCTGTTAGTTGAGGCCCTCATCCACATAGCCCCGCATGCCGTCCGGCTCTCAGGACCCTCTGGCGTGTCTGTCTGACAGAGGCACTGCAGGTGCACGGCCTGATGGTTAGTGTCAGGCACAGGTGCAGCTTTTGCCTTGCTTATTCCTTAAAAAGACAAGTTGTTTCTGGTCTTCACACTTGCGAGTGTCCCCTGAGGTTGGGGCACCTCAGGGTTGACCGTGGCATTCTTGCAATATTTGCCCAACTGTGCACATCCGGAGAGGGGCCCAAGAAAACTTTGACTCCTGTTTGAACCTCAAAACCTTCTCAGTGTTTCTCAATGCCACCACAACCCAATGTTCTAACAAATATTCATTAACTCCACTCTGCTTTATAAACCATATAATTTTAAGAAATGCTATAATGCCCAAATATAATAAAAGAAATTTAAAATTCATAATAAAATAATGTTTATGCCACCGTGTAAAATCTCAGGCAGGTGGAGCCTGGTGCTGGGTTATGTAACCTGAGCCATGCTGCAGAGCTGAGTGGTGGCTCGTGGATTAGCTCTGAAAGAAATAGGTGCGGTCCCCGGTCTTCTCACAATGGTTACGTTTCTGGAATGTGAGTGGGTATTGAAAGTTCGGGAAATATATCATGTTGTATGTAAAAGTAGGGTCTGGGCTTGGGGATGGTGGACTGCCTCTCACCTGCACATAGTTCTTTGGCACAGGGCAGTGTTTTGTTCCTACCCACAAAGTGCCGGGAGCCCCCACACTATGATGTGTAGACCACTCCACACATGGCCACCATGAGGCACCACTGCTACCTGCTGTGGCCACCTACCGGTGGCCATGGGCTGGGGAAGCTAGTCAACACAGATCAACAGGGAGCATAGAAATTCAGTCGTCTATGCAGTGTTGGGTACAAATCATATGCATGTTCTTAGGAGTCTGTTGGTAATTTTCTTCTAGCTGTTTTGTTTCTGATTGTGCCTAAACATAAAATAATAGATTCACATACCTTCAGACTGATTTACATACCTTCTTTGTAAACAGCAAAGAGATTGGTTCATAGATACAAGAAAGTCTGGCATCCTCCTGCCGCTGTTTCTTTTCAGTTTTTCCAGTCTTCCTCTGCAGAAGGTACTTGTGGAGACACCGCAGTGCCCTCTTGTGGACTGTTCCTGTGCTCCTAGTGTGCATAGTTCTGGAGGATGGTCCTGACCACCCTGTCACCCCAACCTAGTTGTGCCCAACAGCCATGTACCACTGGTGGTCACAGGCATGCCTGCCTGGTTTAATAGCATGGATGACCTTCAGACATGGGCAAGGGCATTCGATCTGGCCTCTCCATCACTCCCTCGCATTGTGATGAGTAGAGATCCGTGGGCCCCATTCTAGAAGAAAAAGGCACAGAGCTGCTAGAGGAAGCTGCAGGGTCTCTTCTTTCACCAGCACTTCCTAGGCGGCACTGGGGAAGGAACACCATGGTCTTTGGCCTCAATGTGGACAGTCTGGTGGACTCAGGGTTGTTGTGTCTGCTGGTGCTGCGACAGCAGTGGGGAGACAGGTAGCCTGTTGTGGAGGCAGGGGTGGCAAGCTTGGTGGGGTGAGCTGGAATCAAGTCTTGAAAGGTGAGCCTCAGTTATCCAGGCGGTCGCATGCAGAGGTGGGCACAGGGCAGGAGGGGCTGCGGAGCACAACCATGTCAGCAGTCTGGGCCAGTGTCTGCATTTCTCTTAACCAATCCCTCATGGTTGCAGTGTTGCTGTCACAGCTCCTTTCATCACATCCACATTCAAGGCAGGAACACCTGGGAAGGAATCGGCAGTACAGCCCACGTTCGTCCTTTTTATGGGGGCATTCAGGAAGCCTCCAGCATATTTTTACTTGTATCTCTTTGGCCAGCACTGTGTTGGGCGTCCAGCAATAGTCACAAAGGAGACAGGAAATGTGTAGTTAACTCTTGTAGCCTCCCCCATAAAGTGGGCAGGGGCATCAGGCTTGCGGAGGAGCACTGGGCAGCCAGCCGGGAGGGCAGCCTCGTTCCTCTGCTGGTTATCAGAGCTCTGCCTGTTTACCCGCCCTGCTCCCCACCATGTTAGACATATGGCAGCACTCACCTTACCATGCCTGAGTCCCCTCTTCTCACTCTGTCTGCTATTCAGCTTCAGTCAGGTTTGTTTTTCTGTTTCCTTTCACATTATAGAGGTAGAAAACTTCATTTTGTTCTGTACCTACAGTTCGGTTTCAGATCCAGAAATGGCATTTGTATTGTGTATTATCATGATCAGTAAAAGTTGTTCATTACAGAACCAAGTGAAATGCATATGATTGTATTTCCTTCTCCACGTCCCACACCAGGACTTCTTCGCAGGCAAAGGAAAACATTAGCGTGACTTCTCTTTTGCACTCTCTGATTGCCAAAAGTCACCCATGTTTGATGTCCCATCATTGGGTCGTGCCTTTGGTTCGGTTTTCTCTTTTCCTGCATTCTCACACTGCTTGGGTGATAGAGCAGAGGGTGAGAATGGCTGCAGACCTGACCCTCCCCATGAGCACCGGGTCCTGGCCAGCTGCCTGGTCTCTTTGTCTGTACGGTGGGGGTGACCTTGGTGACAATAAGCATTAATTGAGTTAACCTCTGTCAGTGAATATTAGTGCTAAGCCTTTGTTTTCTCATTGAGAGAGGAACCACATGCTTCCTTTACTTTCTCCCCAGTCTTCCAGCTTTTTCACTCTGCTTTCTGGAATACATTCATTCATTTTTCTGGAAATCTCTGTGTTATCTATTTCATTTCAAATTGATGCTATGACTTTCTTATACAATATTTTTCGGGGAATTTTTTTAAAGCTGGATTTAAGGTGTAATTTACATACACCTCACCCTTTTTAAATGGTAAAACTCACCCTTTTTAAATATACGGGCTGATGTGTTTTGACAGATGTGTGTAGCGAGCACACGTCTCTTTCATCCCAGAGGTGCCCTCTTGCCCTCACAGATGTCCTGATCCCTGTCCAGAGTGGCCTGCCAGACGTTACTGTTCTGTGGCATTGTGTGTATGCAACAGGACACCAAGACCCCTGGATGAAGGACAAGCCAGTGCCCACAGCAGGCCCAGCCAGGCACTGAGGGCATCTTTGGGTCACTTGAGTGGACAACTTCAGACAGTAGATGGCGCTGTAGGATCATGCTAAGACGATGAGGCTGCTACTAAGAAAAAATTCATTTTTAGGTTTTAGTACCTTTCCCATGCCTCCCTTCTGTGCATCCAGATACCAGTTTCCTTCAGAAAACTTTTTGTTCACTGGCTCTTAACCATTTTAAAGGGCCCATGAGGCACTGTATGGAATACTTACAGCTGGGTTAGTTCAGTGAGTGATCTCATTTGTAAGTTAAATTTTATCAAATAATTTCTAAACTTATTTATTATAAATTGAGTCTGTGGAGGGGGCTGACTGCATTGTGGAATTGGAAGGTACAGTTTTATATATCTGTTCCCATCTTTAAAAATTATTACTTTGACTTGGGGTGGTGAACACACAATGCAGTATACAGATGATGTGCTGTAGAATTGTGCACCTGAAAGCTCCATTTTGTTAACTAGTGTCACCCCCAAAAATTTCAGTAAACAGGAAAAAATATTACTTTGTTTATATAGTTTATGTGTAGCATAATTTTATGGTTCTATTTCAGTTCACTATTTCAAATAAGAAATAAGATAAAAGGCCAAAAAAATTAGCCTATCAAGTTATAAATGTGTAGTGACAGATTGCCCATTTTAGTAAGTGTACAGTAAGATTGTCAAATTTAAGTGTACAGTTTGTAAATTAACCAAA